GGGAATGTCCTGGGAAAACACACTGGGAATATCCCTAAAAATCATTCAGAAATACTGGGAATATCCCAAAAATCCCCTCCAAAAACTACTGGGAATGTCCTGGGAAAACACAGCAGGAATATCCCAAAAATCCCGTCCAAAAACTACTGGGAATGTCCTGGGAAAACACACTGGGAATATCCCGAAAAACCCGTCCAGAAACCACAGGGAATATCCCTAAAAACCCATCCAGGGTCTATGGAAAAACACAGAATATCCCAGAAAAACCCGCCCAGGAACACCGGGAATGTCCTGGGAAAACACAGCAGGAATATCCCAAAAATCCCGTCCAGAAACTACTGGGAACATCCTGGGAAAACACACCGGGAATATCCTGAAAAACCTGTCCAGAAACACCGGGAATGTCCTGGGAAAACACTGGGAATATCCCTAAAAATCATTCAGAAATACTGGGAATATCCCAAAAATCCCCTCCAAAAACTACTGGGAATGTCCCGGGAAAACACACCAGGAATATCCCAAAAACCCCGTCCAGAAACCACTGGGAATATCCCTAAAAACCCATCCAGGGTCTATGGAAAAACACTGGGAATATCCCAGAAAAACAATGGGAATATCCCAAAAACCCCGTCCAGAAACACTGGGAATGTCCTGGGAAAACACACCGGGAATATCCCTAAAAATCATTCAGAAATACTGTGAATATCCAAAAAATCCCGTCCAGAAACTACTGGGAATATCCTGGGAAAACACACAGGGAATATCCTGAAAAACCCATCCAGAAACCACTGGGAATATCCCTAAAAACCCATCCAGGGTCTATGGAAAAACACTGGGAATATCCCAGAAAAACCCGCCCAGGAACACCGGGAATGTCCTGGGAAAACACATCAGGAATATCCCAAAAATCCCGTCCAGAAACTACTGGGAATATCCTGGGAAAACACACCGGGAATATCCTGAAAAACCCATCCAGAAACACTGGGAATATTCCAGGAAAACACACCAGGAATATCCCAAAAATCCCATCCAGAAACACCGGGAATGTCACGGGAAAACACACTGGGAATATTCCTAAAAATCATTCAGAAATACTGGGAATATCCCAAAAATCCCGTCCAGAAACTACTGGGAACATCCTGGGAAAACACACTGGGAATATCCCTAAAAACCCGTCCAGAAACACTGAGATTATCCTGAAAAACCAATCCTAAAGCACCCGGAATATTCCAAAAACCCCATCCTAAAACACTGGGATTATCCCGAAAAACTCACCCAGAAACCAGTGGGAATATCCCTAAAATCCCATCCAAACCCACTGGGATTATCCCTGAAAACCAATCCTAAAACATTGGGAAAATCCCAAAAAACCCATCCAGGATCTACAGAAAAACACCTGGAATATCCCAGATAAACGACCCTAAAACTCTGGGAATATTCCAGAAAAAAAAATCCCAAAATCCAGGATCCATGGAAAACCCTGGAAATATCCTGAAAAACCAACCCTAAAACTGTGGGAATATCCTTAAAAACCAATCCTAAAACAATGGGAATATCCCAAAAAATCCAGGATCTGTGGAAAACCACTGGGAATATCCCCCCAAAAATTCCTAAAACACTGGGAATATCCCCCAAAAACCCCATCCCAAAATCCAGAATCTATGGAAAAACACCTGGAATATCCCAGATAAACAACCCTAAAAACAACGGGAATATCCCAGAAAAGACATCCCAAAATCCAAGATCCATGGAAAACCCTGGAAAGATCCTGAATAACCAACCCTAAAACTTTGGGAATAGCCAAAAAAAACCCCAAAAATCCAAGATTGGTGGAAAACCACTGGGAATATCCCATAAAACCCCAAATCCAAAATCTGCAGAAAAACTCCAGGAATATCCCGAAAAATTAACCCTATAACACTGGGAATATCCCAAAACAACCCATCCTAATTCTCTGGGAATATTCCAAAAAAACAACCCTAAAATACTGGGAATATCCCAAAAAACCCAACCCAAAAATCCAGGATCTATGGAAAAACACCGGGAATATCCCAAGAAACCAACCCTAAAACACTGGGAATATCCCAAAAAAACCCAAATCCAAAATCTGCAGAAACAGACTGGGAATATCTCTAAAAACCAATCCTAAAACTCTGGGAATATCCCAAATAAAACCATCCCAAAAATCCAGGA